ATTGACAGAAAACAAAGAGTAAAAAAAAAAAATCTACAACGAAAAACCAGGCTATTGGAATGCATAATCAAACATGAAAACTGATCCAAAAACGACCAGCCATTTCGGAAAAAAAATCAACCTTGGACTATGAGCACAGGTGTCTCCAAAATTGGGCATGAAATATACTTCTAGAATGATGGAATTCTGAGCACTACAACTTAAGAAACACAATTTCTTCAACTGCTGGTATTTCCCTGATCCTCTTTAATGCCTCCTTGCTGGGTTCCTCATCCACACCAATGGTCATTACAGCCTGTTTTCGTGGAGCGATCCTACCAACGCTCATGAAACTCACATTTACATTCTCCTCACCAAGGATACTCCCCACACTGCCAACCATGCCTGGTTGATCAACCTGCCTGCACAGTATGAGGCTGCCTTCCATGCTCACATCAACACCAAATGAACCTACCTTTGTAAGGTGGGGCTTCCCATCTTTCACTCTTCCCTCTACTTTAATCTCACCAGAGTCGGACATTGCTATGGAAAATTTGGATTCTACATTGGCAATTTGAACCTGGATGAACTCAAGTGGATTTTCTGGTGAACCATCCAGCAGAATGCGCTCTTCTGTTATCCTCAGTCCTCTCTGCTTAGCAGAAAAGTCAGCATTCACTATGTTTATAAAAACACTGGAGATAGGCTCAATCAGACCCTTGGTAATCATCGCACGAAGCAGCCGAGTGTCAAGATCATCTGGACCTCTGGCAGAAGAATAAGTCACCTTAACTGATTGCACCCCCCTTCCACCAGCAACCAGTTGGACTGCCAATCTGCCAAGCTTTTCTGACAGAGTAACAAATGGTGCAAGTTCTGACAGGATCTGCAATGAGAAAAAATAATCTGAGGACAAAAAAGATATCATTCCCTACCTTGCACAACGTACATAAACATAAGGGGAGGGAACGAGCCCTTCTCTACACCATGATGAAAAGCAAAGTGGTCACAATCCTTGAACTAGCATATAATATCCATAAACATCACTGAAAAATGGTGGAAAGCTACCACTTGAGATATTTCTATTTCACTTCATCAAAGGAATGCACAAAATATCTATAGTCCAATGTTTGTGAGGGGTTGAAGGTTTGAAAGTAAGAAGTACCTCGGCAGGAAGCATTGGCGCATTTACAGCAGTCGCAGCAAGCTGCCCCTTTAAAGCTCCAACAACAGCTTCTGCTACTTCAATGGCCACACCTTCCTGATTAAATCTCATCACCATTAAGCAAGATAATAAAAATGAGAAGTTAATAAAGTATAACCAGAGGCCTAGATAGATGTTCAAGCATACCTGAGCCTCTGTAGTGCTAGCACCGAGATGAGGAGTCACAGTCACATTTTCATGCAGTACCAACTTGCTGTCTTTTGAAGGGGGCTCTTCTGTAAAGACATCAAGCGCTGCCTGCACAAATACTAAAATTACCAAAACTCAACGGAATAAGGGAACAAGGTAATGAGGACTCTGAAGAAAACCAGAACCTGAGCAACAGTCCCAGAATCCAGAGCTCTTACTAGAGCTTCCTCATCGATTACTCCACCACGAGCAACATTGACAATTCTGACTCCTTTCTTCATCTGGGAAAAGGACTCATCGTTGAACATTTTTGATGTAGCAGGGGTAAGAGGCATGTGTAAGGAGATGAAATCTGCTGTCGATATAGCTTCTTCGAACGATACCAAATCCACACCTATAGCACGGGCGCGGTCTGCTGGGGCATAAGGATCATGTGCAATCACATGCATGCCAAGACCCTTGGCACGCCGTGCCACTTCCGAACCAACCTTTCCAAACCCCATGACAGCAAGTGTCTTCCCCACAAGTGAAACCCCAACATATTTGCTTCTCTGCCACTTTCCTGGGCAGATAACAGAGAAAAAGACATCGCTGAAGAATTACAAAATTGGATGATAACAGAGACATTATTTAAGCCATTGTTTGGAAATTACTTGATAATTGATGAAGGATATGGTCAAAATACAACCAATTTGCTAGTCTCAACAATTTTGTGCATAAACAAGATCTGTTGAAATCACATTATCCTCCAAAATCTCACTGACCGTGCGGTAAAGTTTAAACAAGTACACCCTTATTGATCATTATAACAGAAACATATTGCGCAGAGAATTGTAGAACATAGCAAGGAACAAAATTCAACTCACAGCAATAAAGTAAGCCACCGGCTCGATAAATGACCAATTGAAGCATTAAAAAAGGCATAACCATGAAAAAAAGAGAGCTCAAACCAGATTTAATAGAGGCATCAGCTTGAGCAATATTCCTAGCCATAGCAGTAAGCAAAGCAATCCCATGCTCAGCAGCTGCAATCGTATTAGCCGTGGGAGCATTAACCACCAAACACCCATGTTCAGTGGCTGCCGACAAGTCAACATTATCAATACCAACACCAGCCCGACCCACAACCTTAAGTCTGCCACCTGACCTTTCAAAAACCTCGCGGGTGACCTTAGTCCCACTTCTCACAATCAACGCATCACAAAGTGAAATCTTAGTACATAGCTCCTCATGGTCGAGGTTGTAAGAGCAATCAACATTTGCAAATGTTTTCAGTAGCTCGAGACCAGCTTCTCCGAGTTTTTCGGCAACGAGGACCGTGGGCTTGGGATCAAGAAATACAGTGGCAAAGACAACAAATCTTTTGGCCGTCCTGTTTTGGCGGCGGGTAACGTTGACTGTAGTTAAAGGAGAGAGAAAAGAGAGTTTCCACGAGAGAGAAGGCTTTGTTGGAGTAACCATGAAATTCCAAGAAGACGTAGCCGCCATTTCAAGTTCCTCCTTGCCTCTGTCTTGGAGTCCTGAAACCAAATCGAGGATTCACGTTGACTCTGTATAGTTCATTGGAAGAAGTGCTTGTCAAGTGGCCGAAGGTAATCGTTGTTTTGGGGACTTCACTGCTGATATGTCAGCAACATATCAGCAAGAACTTTTGATTGGTTGCCAACCACCAACTTATTTTCGAGTTTAATTTATTTTAAATTTATTTTTTTTATTTTTTAACTTTAAATTAATATTATTTTATTTTTAACATGTTGATATAAAAAATAATTTTTAAAAAATGAAAAAATAATTTTTATATATTTTCAAATAAAAATCATATTAAAAAATAACCATAATCATATCTTAAATATATTTTTATTCTACTCATTAAACTATATATAACCAATCATAAATGGAATGCGTTAACCCTGGTCAGTGGAAACCGGTAAAATAACACTGTGGCAGTGGCTCATTAACTAGATATTATTTATTTATATGATTGATTAATACTAATACTATTAAATTAAAATCAAACCCATTGATTAGTGCATGATATACCTTAATCATGTGGGCCCACGATTAACGTACTTAATTGCAAATTGGTTGATCATTGAAATGGATCTGTTCGAATTTGTACCTAACAAGATGGAAGAATATATGCATTTCTTTGTAGTGGTTGTTTCCTTCTCAGCCTCAAGAACAAGAACTTTATAGCAAAATACTATAAAGTTCCACCAAACGCAAAGTGGATGCGGTAGTGCAGTTCGTTAACAAAAACATTAAAAGATTTGAGGTGAAAGCACTCTTCATGTCATTTTTTTTATTGGGTTTCCTTTTCATTTACATCTACTGTTTTTTTTTAGTTCTTCAATTTGCTTCCTATTTAATCGTAAAATTGACGTTATATAAATCATGAAATGATATTTAAATTATAAACAATGAATCATGTTTTTTAATTCACACTCTTCATTTTTATTATGAATCATGTTTTTTAATTCACACTCTTCTTCATTTTTATTGAGTGTGTTTTTTTTAATTCATTTGCATCCTTCATTTTTCTTGATTTAGTATTTTCTTTTCTTTTCATTTAATAATTATAATTTGATTTTATAAAATTGATAAACTATGAAATTATATATTTGAAATCATGAACATACAAGATGGAAAAAAATATTAACAAAATGATGGAAAAACAATACAAGTGAATGACACAATCTAGTTGCAATAGTTATACATAACATTTTTTTTTCTGTTTTTTTTATCACTTGGTTTTTTATTTTTAATCCAGTCATTTCTTATTAAGTTAATTTGAGATTAGGTTTGATATTTTTATATGAGGCTTTCACAATGTTAAAAATAAGTTTCATTCTTAAGTTAATGTTTGATTAGGTAAATCAAAATTTTATTTTATTGATTCAAACCAATTAAAATTTCAGGAATTTAATTTCAAATTAAAGCAAATATACAATATCTTTTTTTTTAGAAATAACATATTCATCTTATATCTTTAACTAGAATCAAAAAATTTATTATTATTTATTAGCACATATAATTATTAATTTATTTTATTTAATGTATGTATAAACTTTTCAATTTTTCAATTTATTTTTTTATTAATAGTAAAAAAGCATTAATAATATCGCATTCTTTTTTTGTATTGAAAGAAAGTACTTCATTCTGCAGTGTAGCCCCGGAAGTCAAACAAGTATACCTCGATAAAAGTATGTTCAATTTTCTTTTAGAAAATAATGTTAAATACACACATTTTTATATATCTTTTTATGTTTATATTCAAATTATCTAAAATTATTTTAAAAAACATAAGATTGATGTTCTTATAACTATAAGCACGCCTTGAAAAACACTTTCAAGTGTAGTATATAAACGCAATACCGAAATTGTACAAGGAGCAGCCAATAGCAAAAGCAGCTTTCATTAAATCTAATATTGTAAGATATTTTCCAGGAAATTTCTATAGCTTGATTACAATAGTTTAGCGGTGAATGGAGTTTTAAAAAGGCTTGATTAAATATTTAAATTTGTCTATATATTAATTGTATTTAATAATTTGGAGACTGGGAAAACCTATCCTTATCATTAACATTGTTTTTTTGCATTTTGTTTGATGGATTTAATTATTTATTAATAATTATGAGGTAATATTATAAAACCAGACCAGTGAATATAGGAAGTTGATGTCTGAGGATTTAATTGCTGTCCACATGGCGAGCACAACATTTTAACTCTATGATTGCGATTCATTCATGGCATATTGCCGAAAGAATCTATGAAGGCAGCAGCCATCTTCAAGCCTACTTGTACTTGAGACATTGTGGTGAGGTGCAGGTTATCTCTTTGAAGGGCCAGTCCCTTGGCATCTATGCACTTCACATTAGGTAGGTTGATTGCAAGTTGACTACTTCTGACAGTCTCTATGAATTTGCCTTCACCTGATGCAAGAGCTACCTGTAACCAAGAAAGTTTTATGCACAAGGACAAAATGCTTCTAAAATAATCTCAAAGTTTTGTTGAAGAACAGGATTCAGCTTAGAAACTTTGCATTCCGAGCAAGGATTATTGCCTACAACTAGCCTAAGCTGAACCTGTAGATAGTTCTGTAGACGAGTGATGCTACTAGCTAATCTTTGAAATATTATCTTGCAATGAGCTTTCCCAATAACATCGATCAGGGATTCAGCATAGAAACTTCGCATTCCGAGCAAGGATTATTGCCTCCAACTAGCCTAAGCTGAACCTGCAGATAGTTTTGTAGACGAGTGATGCTACTAGCTAATCTTTGAAATATTATCTTGCAATGAACATTCCCAATAACATCTATCAGGGATCACTACCCTTCTAATAGGGGCCCGACCCCCTAGTGAAGGACAGACATCATTTACAAAACTTATTCGGAGAACAACTTTACTTTTTGTACCTATATGTTTAACGTTTCTATACTTGACGTAGAATCCAAACAAAATGTTCTTGAATTGATCCGTCGTTAACATGTTTCCCTTTTCAAAGTTTGAAACCAGTTGTCTAATCATCAATTTCTCGAGACATCTGCAAGCCAGAAGACTTGTATCCTCCAGATGATTAATCATTCCAAGAATCTATTCTGTTGACATGCTTGGATCAAAGAAATTCTCATGAACAAGACCCGTTACTAATACTGCAAAACTCGATGGTTTTACAATTAATGTTACTGTTCTCATAGGCAATGCAGCCTTTCAGTCGAATTTGGTCTGAGCCACATATTAATGGTTTCCCCACCAGAGGAATTTAAAAGACTTGATGGGCCTGAAACAATCATCCCCACCACTACTGTTTCATCACCTTATGTTATATCAGTAGTACTATTGCCTAGTTATTGTCAAAGAGATGAGAAATTAATGGTGTAGAGTACGTACCTTAAAATCTTTAAAGAAATAGAAAAGGGTCGTACCTGGATTACAGGCAGCGATGGTATATTAAGATCAGTACGCAAGCTGGTGATAAGCGTCTCCATATTTACCTTGTAAGCATCAGCATCTTCTTTTGTCACGGTATCGCTTTCTCCCTGATACCACAAAATCGCTCGAATCGTCCCGCCATCCTTCACTGATGCTCCAGCCCGACTCACCAATTGACTGTACAACTGCGTACCTCGAGCCCACTTACTGATTTTGGTCCCACCAACCGCACAAGGGACGAGACCCACCACACCAATTCTCGAGCCGTTAGCTCTGAGTCCATCAACAAATGCCATGCCTGGGCCAATCCCGCATGTCTTTCCCACATCGATGTCTGCGTGGAGTGGCTCGTGTGCCTCTTCCCATGTGAGTTTAGGACTCAGTCGAAGTGTTGATGGGTTCGGTCTACACTCCGGCGGGACATTCCCGTCCCACTTTCCATGTTCCACACCGCCTCTGCCGGCCATGTTACTTTGGCCAGCAAGTATAAAGATGTCCCAGGAAACGTTAGCTGCTAAACTGGAATGGAACATTAGCAACAACACAAGTAGCTTGAACATGGCTTCTATAATTTATTAAGCCTCCTACGAGAAGAGAGCCTCTTGCTTGCCGCTGGCGTAGCTGTTTATATAGGTTTATTTTACGTACTGAGATGACAATGTTATATAGCCTAGACGGCGCTAGCGAATTGATTTGTTTTACGAGCAAAGGGGAATTACTGTAATTAGAAATCTGGCTTGATTTTGTAATTAGTAAATGCGTAATTTGGTTAGTTATTATTAACAAGGATGCCATGAATCTAGAAGATATTGGTCACTTATTTGGTTGGAGGTAAGTAATTTGAAACATGTAAGTTACTATCACTAATAATAGTATGTGAGTGTTTGGTAATGTGTTAAATGATAGCTTTTTAAATTTTTTAATATAAATACAATAAAATTATAAAAAACACTTAAAAACATTAATTTAATATTTGTCCAGACAAATTTTTTTTTTTTGAAAAGCTAAAAATAAAAGCGTAGAATTTTAAAATATAAAAGTTTTATATGGCTAATTGGATGTAATGCAATTAGTATTAATATCTTTCTAAATTTTAAGAGGTTTTTAATTTGAATCTCTCTTTTTGTAAAAAATAATAATAATATTTTTATAATAATTGTAAAGGTATAAACAAAATCTATCAATTTTAAAACAAATCTAATTAAAAGTTATTTATACTTAAAATATTCTCCATACTAGTCTCGATTTTGTCATTAAACAATTTTTTTATATTAGTTTTACTCCAAATTTAGAAAACAATATTAATTAAGGATTTTAATCCATTTTTAAGGCCTAATTAAAAAAATAATAATTTAAGAACAAAATTATACTATCCTAATAATTTGGAGATGCATTTCATGTTTATGTTTAAAAGAATTTCCCCAATTGCAATGTAAGGTGTGATATTATTTCCAAATGTAGAAGTTGAGAGGGAAAAAAAAGAGGAAAGGGAACCGTCAGTCAATTTGTAAAAATTGGAAATTTTGATTGGTAGGCTGTCCCCTTTCTGCGCCGTGAGTGACGCGATTTTAGATTTGTACGAATTGGATTTTGAGCCTTACTCCCAACTAATTATCGGTAATTCGGTAAGGTACTGGTGATGGATAGTTTCTGTTTTTATATTTTTTTTTATTAATAGTTTTAACTTGTTGATATAATAAATAAATAAAATCATTTTCAAGTAAATTGTCTTTTTAAAAAATCACTTTACATCATAATACTAAACATATCTATAAAATTTAACAATTAACACATTTCTCAAATTTCTCATGTTTAGGGCAATTAAGGAAAATAAAGTAAATGATTTGGTTAAAACATTCTCCAATCTTTGGTTATATGTATTTTTATTTAGGGTTTGATTACTATTTTTTAAGATAAAAAGATAAAAATAGTTAGAATGATTAAGTGAGTTTTTTCTTTATTTTTCCTTGTCCAATCAATATTATCTTCATCTTTACTCTAAAAAAGGATTGAATTTTAAAAGAGTAAAAAATAAAAAGGTTCATAATAATACAATATTGAGTGAGTTTTTTTAGTAATTATTATTTTTAAGAGTTATATTTCTTTATCCTGGCTATTAACTATTAAATTTTGAAAGATAATTCAACTATGTCCCTGATTTTTAATTAAGTACAATTATAAATTATATTATATGGATAAGAAATTTAACAAGACAATTTAATCATAATCATAAAAAATTATATAATATTATTTTGAAAATAAAACATGTTTGTTAAGTTTTGACAATTATAATCAAACATGTTCATTTAATAAACATTCAAATTTATTCATTTATATATAATTATAAAAAATATTAAAAATATTAAAAACAATATATTATAGATAATTGACCCACGTTGTAATGTATGCCAAATCAATTTTTTTAACATAAGAAAAAATTGTTCAAGCTTTATTAAAAAAAATTAAAATAAATAAATCATGAACTAAAAATATTATATTTTTTAAATATTGATATAATGATTTATTGAATGATATTTTTTTCAAATATTAAAATGATAACATATTAAATCAACTCGGGTTAACATGTTAAATATGAAACATGACTCATAAGACCATGATAACCCTATAGAAAATAAATCAAAATAAATTATAGAAACCAATTTATAATCAAACTAGTGTTAAATGATGAAAATTAAATGATTAAAACAAAAACTACTTGAGTCAATGTAGGTTCATCTCTCAAGCCTTTAACTTGGATTATAATATTGTGATAACTCTAGGAAAAAAAAAAAACTAAGAAGCCTCATCTCTAATCATTTCAATATTCATAAATAAAATAAAAAAATCAAAGTCAACTCCTGCTAATCCGTTGAACCTGTAATTATGATTATATAATCGGGATAACTTCATGAAAGACAAATAAAAAATCTATAAACCTTCATTTTCAACAAATTCAATGTTAAAGATTAAAATAAAAAAAAATCCATGAAACCAGGAAAAACTGCATGTAAAGTAAATTGAAAAAAATTATACAGCTCAATTCTTAAACAACCTAATATTAAAGAATAAAATAAATAAATAAAAACTAGATCGAATTGCCAGAGAGTAAAATTGAAAACAAAATCAATTACAAAATAATAAAAAAAAACCAAGTCAAACTATGTCAACCTGCCCAAATCGTGAGATAGAAAGGAAACAAAAGAAAGACACAAATTTCAAATACAATTTAATATCAAATGGTAAAATTAAAAAAAAATTGTTAAAAGATAAAATTTAATAAATAAATAAAAGCAAAAATTACAAAATATTATTCCATTAAATAGTACTGCGGGTGTGTTTAGCCATACCCTTCGGTTTTTTTATTAAAAAATAATATAATATTGAAAAACAACCTTAATAAAAAAAAAAGGGTTGTTGAATAGTAAAATAATAATGAAAAACTAAATAAAAAATAAAAAATATTATTATAATAAATAATATTTTATGAGTGTAATTACAATGATTTAGTCATACATTTAGTAAGGTATTTTATTATAAAATAATTTATTATGAATTAATTAAAAAAAAGTTGTTAAAGAATAAAATAAAAAAACAAAAAAACTTTTACAGTGAATTAGATTCCTCTAGTGTCGTGTTCTGTTAATTAATTAATATTAATAGTAAAGAGAGACCCAAAAGATTCGAAGTAGTTGCCATTAGGTCACTGGCTTAGTGCCCAAGGCATTGGCACAATAACACAACCACAGGAGCAACGTTGTTCAGATTATTTTTTATTCATTATTTTTAGGATGATTAATTAAAAAATAATATTATTTTAATATATTTTTAAATAAAGAATATTAAAAAAAAAAAACGTTACTATATTCCCAACATCCCCTTAACACAAGTCAATAAAATAATTTGAGACTTCACTCCGTCTGTGTTTAAAAACTTAAGATTGGAGATGATTCAATTATATTGGAGTAATCAGATATGCCCGGGACTGGATGAATATCTAATTTGCATTAAAAAACAATTAAAAAAATATTTTTATTTTTATTTTTCAATAATATTATTATTTTAATCCGTGGAGTTCACGAGTCAGTTCCATTTAAATAACTTTTGTTCAACAGACTTGCCCTTGGGCTTTGCTGCAACTTCTAGCAGTTTTACAACTGTAGCTGCAATTTGTATTTAAGAGGAAAAAAAATCTACGTAAAAGCTCAATAATGGACCGATTAGAAAGTGAAACATGAGATTTGAAAATCTCCTACAAGAATTACTGGCAATGTGAACTGGGCTAGGCAAAGATTGAAGAAATGCATAGGTCAAAGTCTGACCGAGTTGAACCTGAGCCGGCGTGGTAAGGTGCACCCTGTCTGGTTCTAGTGGAAGTCCCTTGGCGTCCACACACTGCACGTCAGGAAGGTTAATTCCCAGTTGAGCGTTTCTCACAATCTCCACATACGGCCCCTCCCCGGATGCCAGAGCCACCTAACAATTTAACCAATTAACGTTATAAGCTTTTCGGTCAACGGTTGTTGCTTCAGAACTGGTGAGCTGGTTATCCACACTCACATTTTAATTTTATTCTTTGTTTTTGTTGTCTGAGCATGCTGTCTTGTTTCATCAAACTTTCTTTATATTTTTTTGTTCAAGCATCTAGTCAAGAAGGCCAGGATTCCTGGGACTTGATTGCAATTGTAGATTTATTTTTCATGTTTTAAAATGTTGCATGATGTTTAGAAGCAATCCAGACATATGTAAAAGAATAGCTCATAATTACCTGGATTATTGGTAGCGTTGGATGCCCTAGATCTGCGCGGAGATCTATGAAAAATCTGTCCAACCTTCCTTTATACGCATCAGCATCTTCTCTGATTTGGGTATCACTTTCTCCTTGATACCATAACATGGCTCTAATGACTCCCCCCCTCTGCAAGGCAAACTGAGTCCTCCTCACCAACTGGTCATAGAGGAAACCTCCCTTTGCCCATTCACGTATAGAAGTCCCTCCCATGGCGCACGGTACTAAACCAATGGAACCGAAGTTAGGCACTTTAGTCAAGATTGCGTTGGCAAACGACATCCCTGGTCCAACCCCATTGGTCTTGTTATAATCAATGTCGGCGTGTAGAGGTTCATGGGCTTGGACCCATGTGAGGCTGGCACTTAGCCGGAGAATCGATGGGTTTGGTTGGCATTGAACAGGGACACTGCCGTCCCATGAGGGGATGCCGTTCTTGGTGTTGTTGACTACGCCTCCACGACCGGCCATGTTGCTCTGTCCGGCTAAGATAAATATGTTTTGAGGCAGTTGTTCAGACATGGATAGATTGCCTTGAGTTAGAAGAATCAAGAACAACAAGGAAAGCATCGTTCAGGTTCTCTCTCACTTTGCGTTGAGATGTCGCAAACGAGACAGTCCTCTTTCTTGTTTTCTCAGTCTCGCCTCTCACCCCATTTTGAAAGCAAAGTGGAAGCCTTTTTTATAGTCTGGTGATTAATTAAGGGAAGACTGATTATTGCTTCGGTACATTTTTTAAGAAACAAGGCATGTGCCCAGATCATGGGGGAAGACGATTTTTTTTATTACAGGAAAAATAAAAAGAAAGAAAGGGGAGGAGGAAAATTGAATTTGCACATGAAATGTA